AAAATCACACAATACCAATGTCACTAACAAAATAACATGCAATAACTGCCCAGAATTCAACAATGGACAAAGAGGAAGAAAATTGGAAACCAGATTCACAGAACACAATATAAACAAACGAAAAATCAAAGAATCCATCTTAATTAACAAAACAACCGTACTCTAAACCAATACCCTGGGGGGCCAAGATATCTTTTCTAAGTCGTGCAACAGTATCCGATCATGTGATCTCTTTGTTCCATACTATATATATCTGTGTCAGTGTAAACTACTTGTACCTGATGATGACAGAACATTGTCGAAACATTGTACATTTGCCTTTATGTTAAACTTGTATTGAAGTTTTTCTTTATTACCCATTCAAACCGTCTCCAAGCATTATTATACCTTACGTAATTCGATAGAGTAGCATGAGCTATACATTTCCCAAGTAGTTTTCAACTTGTGTGATGGGATTGAACAGGGCAATAAAATTTAAGTAGAAATAGATTGTGAGATAACAAATCCTATATTTTTATGATTATGGTTGTACTTATCATTAATTTATTATTTACTTCTATCGTTTAGTTTATCTATGAATTTTAGTTGCATTAAAATACTAACTCACTTTCTACATAATCATTTGTATTTTGACTAAATATCTATGTGTGTATGATGACACTGACACCAGTTTCCCTAGCAGTCACATACAGATACTATTAATGTAGCAGAAGGTTATGTAAATTTATGGTCACATGAGCTGTGTTCTCCTGACCTACTCTGTGAATGAATACCCTGCCAGAAGCTTCACCAAGAGAGAGAGATATTGAAGGATATAATTATTGCTAATTGTCACTTGATATTGTTATCGATATTGAAAGGTGTTGTTTGAATATTGTGTTTGCTGTATTTTTTGGAATTAGGTTTTTTCTTTCTGGTTCTTTTTCCTGATTCAGTTATTATTGATTTATTAATATTTATGACAAATTGTTTATTAATATTGGTATGAAGTCCCAGCCAGGCACTTAGAAATAAATTCAACACAGTTAATATACAAGTGTTGTTATTATGACTAAATTGTTTTTGTTGTTGAACCCTGATTGTAGACCATTTTAGACCATTACAAGGGTGATAATGTTAAGAGTTTAAAGTTATTTAGGATAAACAAATGTAGTTTCATATTACAATTTAAAGTCATTTTAGAAAGAAAGAAAAGAGTAGAAATGTTTAGTAAAAATAGAGTAGAAATGTTTAGTAAAAATGCTAAGTTTCAAATTCTGATTTTTACGTACAAATAACTCGTAGTTATTACTGAAAGCTTGTGAAATTGCATGAAGATACACGAAACATGTTATAATTTATAGTATGGAAACTCTAAAGGTCCAGTTTGGGTTAATTTTTAGGTCAAATCGAGTTAATATAGTTAATAGATCTCAGTTTTCAACTTTTTGTAAGGAAGAAAACTTGATCTGATTAAAAAGGACCTTTTTATTAATAACATTTAGTATTTACTTCATTAATGTTGATAAGCGTATTTTATGGATTGAGTCTTTCTTTTTGTATACATCTAACACATTAATTAGTTTATTTGACAGCCATATTGCATCTTGTACTTTTGGACACTTAACTAAAACTAAGCACATTTTATGTTGAATTTCTTTTTTTACGTAATCTATATATATAAACGAGCCTGTATGCATGTGTGTGTGTGTGTGTGTGTGTGTGTGTGTGTGTGTGTGACTGCCATATCTCTAAGAGGAAAGAACCTAGAGACCTGAAACTTTGCATGCATACTAAGGAGATTCTGAGGGTGTGCACCTGGGTATTATTTTTTATATATTTTTTTCTATAATAATAAAAGAGCCTGTTTATGTGTGTGTGACCACCATAGGTCTAAGAGGAAAGAACGTTGAAACCTGAATCTTTGCATGACATACTAAGGAAATTCTGAGGGTGTGCACCTGGGTATTATTTTTAAGATCTGACTAAAAAAAATGTTGGTCAATGTTTTGCCCTTAAGCCTCATAATTCTATTTCCTGAAGGTCTATAGAAAGTATCATATAACTCTCACTTATTGAATGAACAATGTGTGTGGTGGTTTTCTGCCAAATACTCTTTTTCAAAACAACATGGGAAGACAAATACAAATCTAAGAAGTAAAAAAAGTTGAATTAAACTAAGTTTGGGAAATGGCAACTGACAAATTAATTAAAGAATTAGTGCATTGGGGTAACTATAGAAGTAATTAAGATAATGGAAATGCTTGACCTTAGAATCCCACAGCAGAGCATGGGTTTTTTATACTCATAATAACAAAAACAGTATCAGGTTAGTTAGTTACTAGATAAGCATGGTTTGCATTAATATTGTTTTGATGTATTGCTGTTTAAATATTATCAAGACATTCAAACAGCAGGTGAGCATGTTTTACGTGAAAGCTGATTTCACGTTAATATTTAAACAGTATCAGGAGAAGTATTTAATCAACAAGCACATTTTACATTAAAGTTATTCTGATATATTTTTATTTAAAAAGTACCAAGATGTTTGATTAATTACAGATTAGCATGTTTTACACAAGTTTTTGAACTGTTATTAAATGGTATTTGGATTAGTTCACTAAAGATACTCTAGACTTACATGAATGTTTAATGACTTATTACTTTTCAAACAGTATCAAAATGCTAATAGATAAACACCCGGCGACCCAATCCGCCCCTGGCTAAAAGATAAGCATGGACTACATTTAAATTTTCATGATTCATTACATATGAGCTATATTAAAGATTTTGTGACACATTACTGTTTAAACATTATCAAGTTCAATGTGAATTTTATACTGTGAAGATGGATTGAGATTTTTCTTTAAATATAAGACACATTGTTAGTGACGAAAATTTGACTTGTCTTTATTGAAGTGTTTGGAGTGTTAAAATTGACAAATTTCTTTTGTAACTGCCCTAAGAATTTGAGTGAAAGTATAGTGGAAAGTTATGTCAACCACACTACATCTGCTCTATAAACCAACCTATACCTAACCTCTATAAACCATCATAATAAGTTATGTCAACCACACTACATCTGCTCTATAAACTATACCTAACCTAACCTCTATAAACCATCATAATAAGTTATGTCAACCACACTACATCTGCTCTATAAACCAACCTATACCTAACCTCTATAAACCATCATAATAAGTTATGTCAACCACACTACATCTGCTTTATAAACCATCTGAGTCTTGAGTTATAATGTTGTTATATACAATTTTTGTGACAAAAAAAAACAGTTTTTAGGAAGTCCTAGTTACATTTTCAGACACAATTTTTAGTGTTTGTAAGATTTAATTTTTATACATGTCATTTAATTCAACTTTAAAACCAAATTGTGTTAACTTTCAAAAACTAATTTGGTGTAATGATTTTCCTAATATCACAGATAAATTGTAGGATAACTTGAAATCACTCAGCTCTTACTTATTTATTTTTTTTTTTTAAGTTCCCAGAGAGTACCAATGGTTGACTTGGCAATTAACAGGTTCTACCATGAAGTTGGACACTGCAGCCACCAGGATATGAAACGTGTAATGACTGCTCTTGATTGCCCTACATTTTTGGTGAGGATTTTTAAAAAAATTTATAATAATTTAAAATTACTAAAAATATCAGATTTTTTAAGTAAAGATTTATTCATGCATTTTTCTTTTGGAATGTTGACTATCCAACAAGCAATATAGGAAATAGATATAAATTATGCTTTTTTCATTCTAGAATTGCTACAAATAATATATAATTTTTATTTTATTGACTTTTCAGCAGTGTCTGATTAACATTACAGAAGTCAATTTATGTTACCGTATCCAATATTATAAAACTGGCATTTACAAAGTGACCTGTCTTGGCTGTGTTCTAGTGGACCATTATTTAGTGCATTTTGGTTATAATACATTACACACGCACACGTGCACACATTATTACTATTTACAAATAAGTTCTTAAATTTAAGTTATTTTTCGTAAAACATAGAACAGTAAATATAGGAGTATAGAAAACAACTATCTCTCCTAGTTATGAACTTTGGACTCATTTACTGCTTGCTGTAATTTGCTAATCCTTATCAAATTTTGCATGTAGAGAATGTAAAAGTAAGGTTTTTTAAGGTTTTATTTATGGATTTTGAAATAAATCATAAATTACTATATCAATACCACTGCATTCCACTATAATTTATCAG